ATTCTAATTTATTGAGATGCACCTGTATATATATATATATATATTCTATATTTTAACATATATTTATGCAATTTCTTTTATCTTTTTTCCATAACATACACAAAATATCACTCAATACACACAATAGCGTTCTGCTATTGCTATTGAACAACAGAAATGCTGAATCTCCAAACAATGTTATATTTAAGCTAGTGGTCTAAACTGAATGTAATCGGCGTGAAAGGCTGGCCATAAGTAAGCATGTAAGTAACAATAAAAAATACACAACAACAAAAAGACAAAACCACTTTCTGCTGTTTCGTCTTTCCCAAATACAACAATTAAAATACAACTGAAATGCTGCAAAAACAGAACCTTGCAGGAAACACTGCTCTTGACCAAGGAAAAGTCATATTTTACATAGATTTATATTCTACACCAATTCATATTAAAATTAATATAACCGGGTTTTTTTAATCAATAACATCTAAAACACATCAAATGCAACTTTACCACAATTCAATTGATAGCGACATCCAAATTTCAGCAAAACTTAAACAAGCAGTGACGCTGCAGTCAGTGCCCATCCTCTTCAGAAAAACAATGTGTGAGGTTCTTTCCAGAAGAATAATTAGATAAGGCCTCTGCTGAGTAAATAAATGTGGTAAAGATAGTACGTTTCTGTGTGGTCCTCACCACTGGGCTTGAGAGGGGGTTGATTAAGACCATGTGCTTGCCTGTCATGCCGTGGGAACAGATGGATGATGGGAAAGAAGAGGGGAGGGATGGGTGGGAAAAATAAATGCTTCAGACACGGGTCTGTGAAAGGGTGGGTACTCACTGGCTCCTGCAACCTCTCGTCCAGAGCTTGAGTTCTGGCCGTCATGATCCCCACCTCCACTCGGCCCTCCCTCTGTGAACCAAACACGCGATTCCCATCATGTCAATGAGAAGGAATTCATTTCATATAAACAGTTCATTAAAGGGATGTCATTAGGGATATGTATACGCCCTTTAGATAGTATCCACATGCTCCTCAGAACCTCTGATTTACAAATCCACAATGTCCACTAAAAATCTACATTAATACCACAAGACTAGGGCAGCAACAAGTGACTAATATAATAGATATCAATTGTAGATATATACAGGAGTGGAATGCTGAGTCAGAGAGCATGTACCACTGCAAAGTTTTTCCCTTCTTACCTCCAGGATGCGGTGGGTAAGACAGGTGCCATCAGTTTGCAGGCGGAAAAGGTTGCGGATGCCGAATAGCTCCCCTGCCTGGCCCTCGATACCCTGCACAGCCTCAAAGTAGCGTCTAGCATTCTCCTGGCCTCTGACTGATGACTGAAGTTGCTGTCATACAAACAATCAATGAGAAAAAATAAACAGGTCTTATATTAGTGTTTAACCAGTAAAATGACGTTAAAAATGTTTATGCTTCATTTACATAGCCTTCCTTATATGGTATCAGCCCATATATGGGTTCATTTGAAAGCTTGGAGTGTCTTCTTTACAAAGAATACCATTCCTTTTGGTTTTTATATTCATAAAGCAGTAAAATTAAGCTTAGAAATTTATTCGTCCCACACACGCAGTGAATATACAGTAAATATACATGTATTGTTACAGTGGTGTGTGGATGAATTGATATGTGATTGTTTGACGTTCTGAATGTTACAGCTAGCTGCCGGATAGCAAGTTAGCTCTGCTCTGGACCAGAGATGCTGTGTTTGTTGTCATGGAGAGATGCTGGATACAGGAGTGAGTCAACTGATGAGGTGAGAGATGCTGTGAAGCAGTATCCCAATACAGAATGCACATAAATGGAATGATATAAAGCTGGAGGATATGGATTCTATGTTAGAATGTGATAGACCAGATATATTTCATAATGTAGACAGTCTTGTGCATCCTGAAATAATTCAACTGATTGTAGAATAACACAATATGTGAAATTTGTTCCAATTCGCTTGTGCCATTTTGTATATTACTACTTAGAAAAACATAAAAATGAAACATAATTCAATTAATAATCAATTAAAGTGCTTATGGCACAGAGTAATGTAGGATTGTGGGGTTAATGTGTTTTATAAAGCCTGTTTTTGCAAAGGAAACTCACAATGACACATTTCGATGCAAAGATAGACATTCTGACTCATTTCACAAATAATGTAGTAACTCCTGTTTAGAAGCTGTTATTTGAAAGATTATTTTTTCTGGCACTTTTTGGCATCTAGTGGCATCAAACAAAGTAAATTGCAGAGAGTTGTGCCTAATAGAACCTGAATTACAGATTTTCAAAAAAATACTTACTTTTAAAACTCCAAAAGCGCCTATGTTTTTTTTGTGTTTATAGTAATATTTGAAAAGTATATAATGTTATTTATAAAGAATTACACTCATATTTTGTAGTTCAAAGGGTTTTCTTTACAATGAAACCATTTTTTTTCATTTCCTCCATTGTATGTGTGTAGGGTAAACATTTGAATTTGAGTATGTTAAATTTAGGCGAAAATACCAAAAAACGCCCTGAGCTTAAGTGGTTAAGATATTTGAGTATGTGGCTAATGGGTCTATATATATGCACCCAGGTATAATATCTTCATACACATATTACATCTATTTTTCATGAACATACCTGTTTGTAAATGTGGGGCAGGTATATGATCTCCTCTACCGTTCCTAAAGAGATGAATCTAAAAACCGCCACATCCCTGCATTGGCCAATACGATACACCCTGTAAATGAAAACCGGTCAACACAGGTCTTATTGAGACCTTGTAAATTCCATACAACTTGGGTTAAATGTACACTACCATTCAAACGTTTGAGGTTGGTAAGAATTATTTTATAAGATGTCTCATCAAGGCTGCATTTATTTGAACAAAAATACAATAAAAACAGTAATCTTGTGAAATACTATTACAATTTAAAACAACTGTCTTTTATTTTATTTTAAAATGTACTTTATTCCTGTGATGCAAAGCTGAATTTTCAGCAGCCATTATTACTCCAGTCTTCGGTGTCACATGATCCTTCAGAAATCATTCTAATATGCTGATTTGCTGCTCAAGAAACATTTCTTACTTTTAGCAATGTTGAAAACAGTTGTGCTGCTTGGTATTTTTATGGAAAACTGTGATTTTTTTCCCCAGGATTCTTTGATGGAATAAAAAGTTCAAAAGAACAGCATTTATTTGAAATTTTGTTACATAATGAATTTCTTTACTGTCACTTTTGAGTAATTGAATGCGTCTTTGGTAAACTAAAGTATTAATTTCTTTCAATTTTTTGAACAGTAGTGTATCTACTGGTGCAGAATTTTGAGAGAATGACTGTCACGCCTGTTTCACACATCCTCCGTCTGCAGTGCGTATGCAGTCCATGTGCGTTACACGTATGCGGTGCAGAAGCAGCATGGACTCATTGTGCTTTCACACAGGACGTGTTTGCAGTCCGCTACTGATCCGCGGCTGTTTAGGCCACAAACACAACATTTATCCATTATTTTGATTTCAAATCCAAACGTTGTTACTGAAAAAGCTTTTTCAGCATTGTGATCCTCTTTTATCACAGTACAGCAACAATCTTTCATAGACATTAGTTTAAACTCAATAAATATAAACAACGTATTATTCATGTATTTGACTTCTAGGTTTGTATAATAAGTTGCTCAAGCAAGTGGCAACACATTTAAACACAGCATATAGCCTACTTTTCTTACGCTAAAAGTAGGCTATCACAAACATTTTAAATTAAAACTCACAGAAACAGTCGACTCTCGTGCCTTTTCTTTTGCAGTTAAATCTTTATTACAAGCAATTCCGCGGGTCTTAAAGAACTTTGTTTTCCTACCACCACAAGTGCATCTATTATGTTGCCTTGTTTATCTAAAAGTGCACTTTTCCTTGTTTTAAACCTAGCCAAAAAGCCACGTGTTGACTGTGAAACACAGTAGACTTTAATTATATCAATTTATTGTGAAATGACTACATTTCCGTGTCAATCCATGTTCATTTTTACCGCGAACAATGCGTTGTCACTTTAATTCAGCGCGTGCAGCACAGCAAAAATAAAACTCGGTGCATAAACGATTGCTGCATTGCTGCAGACGCACCGCTCCTGGAACGCACTGACGGACCGCAACCACGTGCAGTGCGAACGCTCTAATCCGTTAACATGGGTGCATAAAAAAAAACGCAATGCATACACACTGCAGGCGGAGTATGTGTGAAACAGGCGTCAGTATTCAATACTTAGTACTCCATCTTTCTGGCATGCTGTTGTGAAATGTGAATACCTAATTATATGACTATTTCCTCCCTTATATGTTTGCTTACCTGTCAATAGCCTGAAGATCATTGGCAGGATTCCATGTTGGATCAAACAGAACAACAACATTTGCTCCAACGAAGTTGAGACCAAGCCCACCCGCCCTACAGAAGAAACATGAGGATCAAAGTCATTATGAATCATGTTGTCATAACTTTATGGGAGATCTTGTAAATAATAGGCATAATGAAACATCATAACTTCTGAAGCCACACTCACAAGGTAGACACCAGACACAGGTTGACATCCCGAGAGCTGTTGAACTCTCTCACTATCTTAACTCGGCCCTTAGACTTGGTGATTCCATTCAGTCTGTGGTACTCCAGACCCTCTGCCATACAATAGCTTTCTAGAACATCTAACAGCTGTTAAAGTATAAAGAAAGGTATGCTTTACCTGATTCACACTTATTAAATGTAGGACTGTCAATCAATTAAAATGAATTACACACATATATATATATATATATATATATATATATATATATAAATCATGATACTAAACGATTACCACAACAGCATTTGCTTGGTACCCCAATATTTTTATTTCCAATTTCACCTTATAGTGTTAAAAACATACCAGACTATACAAAAAAAAAAAAAAAACTCACTTTGGTGGAAAGAGAGAAGAGTAGAACTTTTGTCTTTCTTCGCGATAAAGTGATTGAGTAGCTTTTGCAGAACCTGAAACAGGAAGACAAACAGGACATGTGTCACAAAATGATGACTGGAGCAAAGACAATCTTGCTTATCATAACATGGGAAAATAAAAAGGGTTTCATTTAAATCGTAATGAGAAAACGAGAAATAACACGTCAGTCAGCGGCCACTGGGTAGAGATTAACAGAGCGGGCTGTGTCTTTTCTTTCTATTGCTGATGTTTCAGAAACCAGCACCCATTCTTGTGAGGATGCCAGTAACTCAGCATCTGCCAATAACAGCACCCTCAAGATGCTCCAGCTACAGGGAGGGGGTAACCTTTGAAAGGAAGGCCTGAAGAAATGTTAAATACTGTCCTTGTTATTTCTCAAGGAAGTGTATCCACAGCCTGCGAGGGAAGACAGCTCAGGGCCAGTGCTAGCCACAAGAGGGTTTATTAATCTCCACATTGCCAGGGAAAAATCCGGAATGGACTGGAAATGAAGATATCTTGGCAAAGCAACTTTTCTATGCTGTTCATTTGAAGCTTGAGCACCCTTAATGTTAATAACTGTAACATGCAACTAATGAAAAGTATGTTTATCTGCATGTTACAGTTATTAGCATTATACACTCAGGACTCAACAATGAGGATGAGATTTATTTTGATTTATTTATCAGGTACAGTACATCCTTTTTATGTCAAAATTAATTCAAACAATGTATTCTGCTGATGTGTCACCAAGATAATGTGTTGAAAACTACAAACCAATTAGTAATGTTTTCCATCATGTGCAAATGTTTTCCAGCTTATTTGTGTTTATGAATTTATAGTTATATTATAATTCTATAATTCCCAGCATATTTTCATTTTGTAAAGAAAACATTAAATTAAATTTAAATTTAATTTTATATATCATTCATTTTTCAAATTACATTCAATGACAATTAAATATATTCTAGAAAATATAGAAATGCAGTTAAAAAATTCATCATTCCTTTAAGTGGGGCAAAATCAGAACAAAAAAAAAGCCCAGTACTCCATTCTATCATACAATTATCGTGTGATATAACTCTAAATCTGGTTCTTGATCATCACGAAAAATGCCTCACAATTTTTCTACTGTACATGGGATCAGACATTGCTTCAAAGGCTGCTTGTTTGCACCTCTCTGTGAAATCTGGAAATTTCCTGAAAACTTGCTCACAAATGGCTGTCACATATTTCTCCTGCAATTATAAATAAAAATCACAAAAATACTTACAGAAAGATAATGATGATGATAATATGTACTTGACCAACAAAGCTATTCCAAAATAACTACATGATACATAATCAAACCTCAAATTGGTTTCAACAGACCACTTGTACTGATTTTGTTGGATGAACCACATATACTACCATTCAAAAGTTTTGGGGTCAGTACGTTTTTATTTTTTTGAAAGAAATTACTTTTAAGGACAAGTTAAATGGTTTAAAAAAGATAGTAAAAAAAATACAGAGTTCTGGCATGAAACTCTACATGGCGTAGTCCGATAGGTCTAACTCAATCTGATATAATGACATCATTATCACATGGCACAGCTGATTGGTTCTCTCCTGTATCGGTAGCCAATGAGCTCGCTGTTCAACATTCAAATGTATGATTAGTGCTTGCAGTAGCAGTTGCAGCTTGCTTCAGAAACCCTCCACCTTCCCCAGCTCCACCTGTATAGATCAGCTACGAGGTGATTCATGTATGCTGGGGGTTATTTCATGTATGTTATATTTGCAGCAGCAAAATTTCTTACATGCTCACAGCAGCATGTTGTGGATGTATTGGCAGTCGCAAGTCTCGGTACTTGCTCTGCTGCTGCAGCAAAAGCAGCATAGCAGATCTATTCCGCCAAGACCAAATACATTAACATTGTCATTTACATTACCATGCCAATCCCTCCGAGAGTTGTCATGACAGAAATATATTTAAATAGAAACATCCCGCACTATTCCCACTGCACTCAATTACTAGACTGTTTTTTGCTGGTTTCTTCTTTGGACTGCAGTAGTGCAACATGATTGACCACCTTTCTCAGGATAGCCAGATAACTAAAGTACAGGTGTCTAACCGGCACACCGTCTGCATTCAGTTTGTAGCAGCACTTATTCCGTGGACGGCCACTGCCACAGTGACACTTTCCTGAGCTCCGCAACAGCAGGATCACATCGTCTGTGTCCAGCACGGCATGGTACACTGTCCGCTGGAAGTCTGTGAGAGAGCAATAGACCACCTGGAGAAGGACAAGACCAGAAGGTGATCAGATCAGAGCATGTACTATCAGATATCATGTTAAATCAGTTGGTTTATTTGACTTGAACTACTCACTCGATCATCTTTCTTAGGTAGCTGGTCACTGATGAGGGCCTTTGTTCTCCTGAGGAACCAGCGTGAGAGTCTTTCGGCAAGGTCCTGAACTGCTTTACGGCCTTCTGTTGGAGCTCTTTTTGTCACTGTGTGCTTTTGCCCATGCTCGATGGGGTCCGAAATCCTGTTTTTAAAACCCGCCAGAGAACCCAAGCATCCTGGAATGGCCCTGTGACATGAAAGCGACAAAAAGTGCAAAACTTTGGGGTCAGCAGGATTTTTTTTTTTTTAGAAATGAGTGCTTTTTTTTTAGGAAGGATGCATTAAAGTGATCAAAAGTGATAGTAAAACGTTGATATTTTATAATAAAATATCAAATAAATGCTGTTCTTTTGAACTTTCTATTCATCAAAGAATCCTGAAAAAAATTCAGTTTCCGGAAAAATATTAAGCAGCATAACTCTTTTCAGTATTGATTATAAGAAAAGTTTCTTGAGCCCAAAATCAGTATATTAGAATGATTTCTGAAGGATCATGTGACACTGAAGACTGGAGTAATGACTGCTGAAAACTCAGCTTTGCTATCAAAAGAATAAATTACATTTTAAAATATATTAAAGGGAAAATAGAAAACCATTTTTTAATCAATTAACCAAATTCCTGTTTTTCTGTAGTACAGCTTTGGTGAGCATAAGAGAACATAAAAAACACATTTAAAAAGTTTTACCGACTTCTCAGTAGTGTGCAGATCTCACATTCATAACAAAGGCCGATACCTTCTGAACTTGTTCTGATGGCTTCTGTGACAGCAAAAACTGTGGCCTGTTGTTCTCGACATCTTTCCATGTACCTGTTTTCCGCAGAACTGCAGCCAGGAAGCCGATGACCTAAAAGAACAAAGGAAAGAGGACAAATGAGCAGTCCTTACTAGGTTTATTCTATACATTGTAACATGCAGATTTGTGTGCATTTACCTGAACAGTCTCTCCAAGACCCATGTCATCACCCAAGATGCATCCTCTAGATTTGGCATAGTTATGATAGATGAATTGAATGCCTTCCCGCTGGTAGTCACGTAAATAACGTTTGATGGTGTATAGAACTTTTACATAATTCCTGACGGCAGAAATAGCGCAGAAGGACCTGGTGGTGTCTGATTACTGTGGAAGAGAGGCCTCTCATCGTCAAATTGAGGAAGAGATGTTCTGGCATCCTGGCACTTTGTAGATGAATCTTCCTCCTCCATCTCCACAGAGAAAGTGTCCACATCAATAGAGGTGCTAACTAGACAATGGCTTGTTTAGCTGTGACAGGCTTCTCCTTTGGGGCAGCACAAAAGTAATTTTATGTTTACCTGTACATTTAACCTGCAAAACACAACAAAATACATTCCATTAAAGTCATATCATGCTGAAAGGTTAAAGGTAAATTTTGAAAATTTTGTCATCATCCACTTACCTTCATTGTTTTATTTTCCATACAATGGCAGAATGTTGACTGAGACTGTCATTCTAAAAAAGCAGGCCATACAGTTTAGCAACAACATGAAAATGAATAATCGATCACAGAACTTTCATTTTTGGGTGAACTATCCCTTTAACTAATCTCAGTTGTCTCACTACGTGATGCTGTTTCGTCTGACACGAATCAATTCACTTGACTAATGTTTGTAAAGACTGTGATTTGATTACATGTTAATTTGTTTTAATTTAAGTATTCTTTGCGCATTGCGATCACTTTAAATCGCTGTTCTAAGTTCATTTGCTACACAGTGGAAATCAGTTAAGTCTTACCATCATTAATTCATTTTAGTCTCGCTGTAGTTTCGCATGTATGTATGTTCTGGTGTCTGTAATGTAAATTATGAAGATATCTTATTGACTGTGAGATAAACAGGTAGTTTTCCCTATGCATGTCCACTGTCCAATGTATTTGATTTCATTTTCATCAATTTATAGTTATCATCATGCGGCATATTAACAGAGAGGATCGCGTTTATTTATCTATCTGTGTGTTGAGAGCAGCAGTTTCCGTACAATGGCTAAACGTGAAATATATGAATTCAATATAATACAATACAATACAAAAATTAAATAAAAAATATCGGTATGTTGAGAGTAGCACTTTCCGTACAATGGCGAATGAATACATGAATAAAATAAAAATAAAATAAAGAGTTAATTGCAGTCAATTAAATATTAAATGAATAAACTAAGTATCACACTTATAAAATAAATATATTTTAGCTCTTAATGTTTTTACTGTTAATTTTTATCAATTGAAGGGGCAGCTTACATCAGCAAAAAGTTAATACCAATGTTTTTGTTAATTAAAAGTGGTGAAAAAAATCAAAATTAAATGAAAATAAAGCTGAAATAAAATGCAAACATTTGACGAAAAACGAAAATTAGAAATGTTGTCTAAAAACAACTAACTAAAAAAAACTACAAAGGCACATAATAGAGCTTACTAAAATTTTAACTAGAATTAAAATTGAAAATGAATAACAAAGCTCAAAATATTAATAAATACTATATTACAGTATATAAATAATTCCAAAATACAACCCCAACTCCAGAAAAAGTTGGGATGTTTTGTATAATGCAATAAAATCAAGAATCTGTGATTATTAATTTTCTTTAACTTTTATTTAATTGACAAAAGTACAAAGAAAAGATTTCCAAAGTTTACCAATTTTGATTTTGATGGCTGCAACACACTCCAAAAAAGTTGAGACAGAGACTAAATAAAAGTGAAACGTTTATAGAATATCCAAATTAAGCTGTTTCGAAACAGTAAGCAGGTGAATTGGTAATAGGTGAGGGGATCATATTTGGGTATAAAAGGAGCATCTCAGTCTTTGCAAGCAAAGCTGGATCTTGGCTCATCACTTTGTGCCAGCGACAGATGCAAAAGCAAACGTCTGTCATGGTATGGGGCTGCAGCAGAGCAAACGACATGGGTGACTGGCATATGTACGAAGGTACCATTGACATAGAGGCAAATATTGGGATTGTACAGAGACATATACTGCCATCAAGATGATGTCTTTCATGGGAAGTCCATGGTTATTAGATCAAGACAATGCCAGGTCTCATTCTGCATGTGCTACAACAGCGTGGTTTCATAGACACAGAGTGAATGTGATGCCTGCAGTCCAGATCTGTCTCCTATTGAGCATGTATGACCAGTCACGAAAAGGAGAATCACAACAACGATCACAGACTGCTGAGCATCTGAATTCTTGTATAAAGCAAGATTGGACAAAAACTTTGCATGCAAAACATTAACAATTAGTATCCTCAGTTCCCAAACAATTAAACATTGTAATTAAAAGGAAAGTTGACGTGACACAGTGTGAAAGATGCTTCTGTCCCAACTTTTTTGGAGTGTGTTGCAGCCATCAAAATCGAAATGTGTTTATATTTACAAAATAAAATTAAGTTGGCCAGTGAAAACATTGGAATTTTTTTCTTTTGTACTTTAGTCAATTAAATTTAAAAAAAACTTTAAAATCAGCTATGCATGAGCTTTAGAAACTGAGACTTTATTGTTCTATCTGATGTAAAAAAAGGCACATATTCTGCCTAAGCACATGATCAATCATATGATGACAGCCAAGCTTCAAATCAAAATATTTTTAATTGCAGTTAAATACATCAGGTTGTGTCTGGTAACCAGACCAGAAACGGCATGACCTACATTGGTAGCTCGGCTTAGGCTGGAAAAGTTCCACTTGTTTGTTTGACATCCTCCTAATGTATATCTGCTTCTCACCAGATTATGCGCCTCTTTCCTGGGGAGCCACCAAATGTGCTAATTATGGTCAACGAAAGCAGTTAATGGTTTTGCGCACGGGTGGTCCATATCTCTTTAACGCATTCATTCTGACTGACCTCACCATTACCACCCATCTTGAGCGGCTGTTTTTTCATTGGGGGCAAACAGACCCATGCGTTTCAGTAGACGAAAAAGTGTTGTGTGTGACCCAATGCTATGCCTTCTGCTATGTAAACCGTCTGTCATGACTGTTTGGGCTTCTTTATAAGAACATCTGCAGCAGCTGCCCTATACATTCCCAGCGTTGAGAGAGGAGGAACAGAAAGTTCCATTTTTGTCTTGCAGTGTACCATAGCAGAGCGGACAACACAGGCCATCCACGACTTCCTCCTCATCTTTAGCTGGGATAACAATAACGACAGGCTGTTTCCTTTTCATTTACATATGCCCTCTTAGTTATTCCTACCACAAATATCATCAGTCATTCAGGTAAAACGTTTCCTGAGGTGTAATGTTCAAATGGAGACACATCAAGCTTTTCCTGAGCAATAAATGCCCATAGTTGACTTGCCTACAATAGGCCACAGTGCGTAATTTTGAGCTCCAGGCACATTATGTCGTTCCATACGGTAGCGTAAAGGGCATTTTTCATTAGCAGTGTGAGATTGCAGGCAGCAAATTCCGCCGAATTTCCCCCTCACTGCAGATGCTGAATGGGAGATTTGTCTTCTTCTCCCTGCACTTAGGAAATGCTTCATCTGTGTTTCACAGACTTTCTCTCATGAGTCACCCAAGCTTAGAAAACCAAAACCAATTACAGCTATGCCAAAAAAGCCAGTTTTAACTTCATACAAATTGATTATGGAAATAAAAAAAGGATTTTGTTGTTGTTATTGTTTTTATTCCTGCATTGGCTTGCAGTCACTGGCAGATATATGTGCTACACACTGGACCAAAGGTTTTTAACCAAAGGTTTGATGGCACAAACCTCCAAATATGATAATCCCATTGTGATCTCTAAAAATAAAGACAGCTATATATTTAATGTATAAAATACAATTTCCACACTGAAATATATAAAAAATATAATATGAAGAAAATTTGTAAAACAAAAATTATAGCTGTCAATGGAGTAACATTTCTCACCAGCATTTGGTTATGGTAAGAATGTAAAATGTGGTACATTGTATTTTTAAAGGTTAAAAGACTTGAAGATTAATGAATGAATGAGGGCATTAGAGGGAATATTTTAAAATAAATACATACATACAAACACATAAATGAGAGGATGTCGGGTAAAAATGTTAAATAAATACATACATTTATTAAAAATGGCACCCTTTTAGGCCCCTGATTGAAAACTCCTTGACTATTCACTGAATGTGACTTCTTCTAACCATCAACTACTACATCAACTGCTTAAAGACCACAATCTGAAAAGACAGCCTTACTTTTTCGTGAATTAAATGGAGGATGTGAGGGATAGACGTTCAATGTAATGTCTTTAGTCCGTTTTCCAATCTTTTTTGACACAAGGATTTTTTTTAATAGACATATTTTTAGTGTTAACAACAGTACAATGTATTAATTGGACTGTACGTCTACACCTGCTAACCTTGTTTTCATTCACCCTGGAAAATCTACTCTGGAAATCCATCACAAACAACTGCTACTACTAGTATTTTCTCTAAAATTCTATGATCAGAGTGATTGTAAGCTTACACTCTTAGTCTTATCCCACTATACTCCTCATATTAGCAGTAGAGTTACAAAATCTCCTTTCTGTCGAGCTGGAAATTTCAGCTGTGTGTGAGGTCCGTCTCTTGCAGATTCCAGAAGATTTGCGTCATTCCCCCACATCTCTGTTTGTGTGGTCAACATCACAGACACACCACTGAATCTTTCAAACAGTCTCAATGAGGTGTCTGATAAAACCGTAATATTTTTTTCCCCAGCACCTCATCCACAAGGCATAAGTCTTCTTTTCCATCCAGATTTGTCAGGATCTGTGACAGTCTAGGACAGCTTACTATTAAAACCGTAAGGATGTACACAATTAAAACTTTTATGTCAACTACTAGCGTGTCTCAGAGAGACATAAGCGGCTGATTTGTGGTTGAATTCACCAGCGCCTCATGCTTGCAAAATAATTCTAGATTTCAGGAACGAGTACATAGAACTTTTGTGATTTCTTTGGACCCGACTTTGGCAACATATGCCGCATTCTGTCAGCTATTTACTCTCACTGTTCATTTAAAATGTCACATGGCTCAGAATATTAATGCATTTTGGGTGGAAAGGGTTTCTCTTTTCTTTCGTTTTCCTTCCTCCTACCTGTTTTTTTCTCATTTGTATATAAATATAACTGACTACACGTCAACAGTAGTTACTTAGAAATCATTTATGAATATACTTGCTATCAAAGATGTTGCCCACATCCAAGACAGTGACAAATAGAGTGCTGCCATGCGTTTCAATGTAGTTGTACAATACTTGTACATTCTCCAAGCTTCTTGAACTAAATCCAGCCCCTTTATCCCTCTTTCTTTGTCTCTCTCACAGGCAATTCTACAACCACAAGCACACACTGATCGTCTTGAAGTGGGGTCTATTATGGAAAGGCTCAGATAGTTGCAGTAAGAGTGAAAATAACAGAATTACTTTACAAAGTGCTCTATTTATTC